CCCAGAGACGCACAGACGTGCTTAACCCTCCTCATATTAAAAAAGAAAAAAATATACATGCATATATGTGGCCCAACGCACGGGCGCCAACAAGTGCTAAATAGCTATTTTTTTCTAGACTTTTTTTTTTCAGGTATGTTTAGTTATACCTTGCTAAAAACTTCTTGGCCATGGGTCACTTATATACCGGGTTGGTGTTTGCTTTGGAGCTTTCTCGACCTACACAAACACGTTCGGTTGACTGAGAGATTTCAGCGCCGGGTAGGTTCGGGGAGGGGTAAGGCGAGAGTTTATTTATGTATTTAATTATTTTGGTCCAAATATGTCTTTTAAAAATCAATACAATTAATCTGTCAGCTCCACGTGTCTCTCAGACGGAGAAGGTGGTGGAGGGTCCCTTTGGGCTGGGAAAAATCGATTCCTCGATTAATTGACAAAAAAAAAAGGAGGGGGGCTGAGGAGGAGGAATGGGGAGTTACAAGCAGCGGCGAGGGATGATTGGAAGCGGGAAGGAATTTCACTTCCTTCGTCCCTATTTCCCCCGGGGGGGCTGCGCCACGCTGGGGCAAGGACCCGGGGCCGGTGCCTGCGCTCCGCAGGAAGTCTCCCCCCTCTCCTGGGCTCCCGTCTGTATCGGCACAGGGTGGATTTTTTTGCCCCCCTCATGGTTTCGCCCAATTTGTGCCAGACCCTCCTCCCAGCGCCGGGCGGAGACCGAAGCCTTTCCGGACCAGCCCGCTCCCCTCCCGCGGTGTGTGAGCGGGCTTGCCTGGGCCCTCCCCGGCCCGAGAGGGCGATGCGCCCCAAAGGCCATCCCGCCTTTGCCACGTCTGCGGGCGGCCCCTAGGCCCACCGCACGGCGGTTGGGGGGGAGGGGGCCGCAGCACCGGCGGCCCCCTCCCCGCACTCGAGGGAAGCTGAGCTCCCGGCAGCCGGGCGGGGTCTCCTTCGCGAAGTTTTACGGCCTTGTTTTTAATAAGTGCCAACTTCTATATAAATGGCACTTGTAAACGTGTCCGGCTTCCTCCCGTGCAAACGAAAGGGGGTCGGAGTTTGCCGGGGGAAAAGAAAATAAAACCGGAGCTAACTACCTGTTGGAAAGGCATTCTCAAGGCTCCCATGTTCACGTAGGGGGCCACTCTGCAGGCGTCTAAATGGCTGGCGGTTCCCAGGATCACACCTGCGGGGAGAGACGGGGCCGAGTGAGCGGTCAAGACATCCCGGGGCTCTGCGGCCGCCACCCCACGGCCGGTCCGCACCCCTCACCCACCTTTGTGCATCTGGTTTTCCTGCTTTCGGCACTTTGCTCTCCTGTTCTGGAACCAGACCTGTTGAAAGAAAAGGCAAACAAAACCAAAAAAGCAACCAACAAAAAAAATTGAGGTAGACTGGGCAGCTGCTAAAAAGGTGGATTCTCTCATAGGCTTAAAATAGAGCGGAGACGCGATGGGCTCGCGCAACTTTGCTGAGGTCTCTCCTCGGGAGCAGCCGAGGGGCACAGCTCGGCCCTGGACGGAGTGAGCCCCTCTGCTGTTTGGTGGCCG